GGGATATGCCACTTTCCATGAAATAGGCTGTAGATTTCAGCATTTTTAGCTCATCAGTCATCATTTATAATTTCTTCCATGGTATCTCGTAAAGTATTGTGATCATAGTAATTCACATCCACATCCAATAGCATGAACCAGTTATGCTCCTGATTTGTTTTCTTTCTAGAATAAATCAATACTTTATTTATTTGTTTAGTTTGGTTTTCAAAGTTTGCTTTTGGTTCATCTTATTGGCAGTTGTTTTGCGCATGATAAGCTTTGGTTATGACTACCATTGGGCAGATTGTAATTCTCATTTTGACCAAGAGGTATTTGTACTGCTACAATTTCTTCCATTATTCATTGCTGGATTTTTTAAAGAATACTTTCTTTATTCCCTGACTTGAAAGCTGCTTGAGTTTGTGACCCTTCTAAGAAATTGCTAGTTTCCCTGGCACACGCAATGCGCCTACAGATTTAGGTGTGTGTAATTCGTCTTCTGAGCAGAACACCTTGAAGACGAACAAGATGTAGATGGCTTGACTGTTTGTAAGGGAGGTGGTCATGGGTAAGACCGTATGAGAGAGAGAGAGAGAGAGAGAGAGAGGTGAGACATTTGTGCGGTGAAGGAGGGAGCCAGTTTGGGAGGAGAGCTGTGAGAGAGACAGTCTCGGGAGGGCGGGGCAGGTGGTGGTTGTAAGTTTAACTTGGGAAGTTAGATGGGTGTGTAAATATTTATTTTGCTCTTAAGAAGATGAAGGGAATTGTGATTGTGCTATCCATTAGATGACTGTTAACTTGTAATAAATTTCTAATGATCATCAACAAATTGAGAGCACACAAAAACTCCACCCTTTCCCTTTATTAATAGTAATAGAGTTAAAAATTCCATATATATCACACAGGATACCGAATGATTAAAAATACAAGGGCCCACACCTCCCTAGCTAATGGGCAATGCCAAAACAAATGATTAACAGAATCCTCTGCTTCTTTGCTCATGTAATACCAATTAGGTATAATCTTCCTTCAGCCTTTGAGAGTGATGTCGTGTTGATGCTATACTCCTGAAGCTGCCATCTATGCAGTGGCATCCACCTTGGGAGGGACTTTGCGTTTCCAAATGGCCCTCCACAGGAAGGGGAAATTAGAGCTGATCTGACCTATCAGGGTTTATGGATAGTTTTAACCATTTGCTAAGTTTCTAGTAATCTAAGTCCTGTATAACTGGAGACAAGCTTTCAATTCTTTTATCTGTAAGCTTGAATTTTTAGATTTAACCTTCTTCTGCTTGCTTAGATCCTATTGTGTTGAGAGTTTAGGTTGAAGAGTGTAGTCTTCCTCAAATCACATATTTCTCTAGGGGAAAAAGTATTTCTCTTAAAAATCCTAAATAAGATAGGAAAGGAAATTATGAGTTTCTGCGCTTATGCAACTACGTCTTGACAGTGTTAACCGTAATCCAATCATCGTACAAAACATGAGAGATGACCTCTGAAAATTCTTTTAGTGTCAAAAGATATTTAGATTGCACTGGGGGCTGGAAGATTTGGAGTAGGGAAGCTGCGGAAAATAAAGCCCTAGACATATTTATGTTGCTATCTTCAGTCAGTTGGGATGAGTCTTGTGTTTGATTGCTAGTGACAGATTAAGTCCAAAGTTCCTAACAACTTGGTCTAAGTTATGTTGGGGTTTACGTTCTGTGAGTGCGACAGATCAGAACTGCTAGATTGCAGGATTTTTGTGCTGGTGGAGATCATGCAGTTGATGAGTTATATTTGGTTTGTTCACTGCCAGCTTAGAGCAATCTGTAACACTAAATACCCCTGCATAATAGTGCACATAAATTGAATATAGATCCTTGTGTTCTATATTTTGCTGATTCTTTGTGGTTCCTAGGTTCGTCCTTCCTATTTGATGTATGCAAGCAATACTTAAGGAATTATTTTCCTCACTTAGTTTGTTCTTGCTCCCGTTTGATTTTTTGGGTGACTGCAGAAGCACATTCGACACTGTGACACTTGTTCATCTGGAAAAACATGCTACTTGCTATTGCAGGTTGGTTGCTGCTTCAACATAGTTCCTAGTATCAATGTAGTGTGCTAACCTTTAGTTTCACTATCTTTGGGCTAATGTCTTTAGTTGTGCGAGCTTGTTATATTTTCTTCAGGAGAGGAGCGTCAAGGATGACAAGTTCTCTTTTACCTTATACCTTTCTTATTTGGTATATGCACCTCTTTATGTTGCTGGACCAATTATTAGCTTCAATGCATTTGCTTCACAGGTTTGTGACATTTACTTCTTGTTGTCCCCTTTTACTTATGTCCTTATATCTATAGGTTTTCTCTACAATGCAAATTACTTTCTGAAATGCCACTGAATTGGTGCACTCAAGATTTTTTTAAAATGTGGAAGTATTGGAAACAACAATCTATGTTTACTTTCCCAGTGATGTTTTTGAGCTTAAACTATAATGCTTAAGATATATGGAAGGCTACAAGGTATTCATGTAGGGGTGTTCCATGGGCCAGGTTACCCACAAGTCCCATTACTCAGCCCCAAAAAATTAGGCCCAAAACCCGATAAGTCCGATAATTGGTCAGCCCGTGCCCAAGCCCAATATCCTTAAAAGAAGAGCTTGGGTTTACCCCCAAACCTATTACCCGGTCTGAAGCCCAGCCCAATAGCCATCTTGGAAAAACCCAGCCCAAGAGTCCGTTCGTCAAACTCGCCCATCCTTCATTTGAAAAAAAGTTATACTTTTAGATCATTAAATTTGAAATTTTGAAATAAGTCTCCGAATATCGGAATTTGAAATTTTAAAAATTTAGATACTATAAATAATATATTAGTTTCCTTTCCCTATATTAAACATACAAGTTTTAAAGGGTAGAGTAATAAAAATAATAGATAAGTGAGTAGATGTCAATCTAGTTGGGATATATTCATTTTATTGGATGTAGTTCATCTCCTAGTCAAAAATAAAATTATTCATTATTTTATTTTTATCTATTTTGACTCTACTTTTAATTCAAAAATATAATTACACAAATATTAAGTTACAAAAATATTTATTACTTTTAATTGAAGTTGTATATAAAAAAGCTCACGAGTAGGCCCACCCAGCAAGCCCGCTCAGAAGGCACGCCTAATAAGCTCGCGGGTAGCCTACCCCTACCTGAAGTCTAGTCCAGCCCAGCCCGCCCAATGACTCACTTGGGTAAGGGCTTGGGCCTACACTAACCATGGCTGGCCCAAAAAAAATTTTGCTGCCCTAGCCCGGCTCAGCCCATGGACACCCCTATATTCATGTATGTGTTTGCTGACATAAATTACGACCATGATTCTATGTCAGATGTCATTTGATAATTACTGTTCTGTTTATTAGTATTTTCTAATAACACAAATAGATTATTTCGGGTTCTTGAGTGTGATTGTTATTTTTGGATTGGTTTCTTCCTCATTTTTGAAAATTGTACCAATAAGCTTTGTAGGTAGAATAATCGTCCAAAATGTGTTGCATTGTCAGCAGATCTGTCCCTTTTGTCAGGATATCAGAAAATCTCGTTTAAATAGTATATGGTTCTTGCAGTTGGATATGCCCCAGAAGAATTATTCATTAAGAGAGGTGGCTTGCTATGGAATGCGTTGGGTTCTTAGTCTTTTCCTAATGGAAGTAATGACACATTTATTTTACTACAATGCCTTTGCCATCAGGTGATTCTCTTCCAAACTAAAGGATAAACCTTATTCGCGATATGCTAATATTGTGATGAATTTTGTTGATATACTGTATAGTGGCATGTGGAAACAGTTATCTCCTATGGACATCTTCACAATTGGGTATGGGGTAAGAGCTGATATTTAGATGTTATTGTTCTCCTTGATTAAATCTTTGGTAGCTTGACTAAGAGTTGATATAACGAAGTCTTCATGGCACGTTAGAAAGCACCATTGATACATATGCTGCAAAACAATGATCTAGCTATTACCAAATAGTAGACAAAATATATGAAAGAGGAAATCCAGTAGTTGTGAATATTAGGGTTTTGAAGAGAAACCACATTATGAAATGTGTTACTCCCAGGAAGTTTGATGGTATATGAAACTGCAATGCAGAAAAAAGGAGATATTCTCCATAGAGATTGTGCTTTTGAAGCTGCAAATGGGGCAAATCAACAATCTACCACTTTATTTGTATGTATGATCGAACATGATGAGTTATGTAAGCTGTGAACAAGGAGAAAGAGCCGACATCCAGTAGGAAGTTTGATTGGATTCAGTGATGATCTGCATTCTGTGCATCTGTTCGACAAAGCAGTCATCGACTGGGAGTATCGATTTCTTAGAACTTAATGATAGTAAAGTTCAATATAAAGAGCTGTTCATCCAGTAAGGGACTTGTGACTTACAAATAATTGAATTCGGAAAGAGATGCACAAATCAGTATTTATTACACAACAAAGTGAACTCCTGTTTTCGTTAACCTTATAACCGTACCCAACCAACAGTTTCCAAAGAGTCAATCTCTTCTCCTTTCTTATGTTGTTTATAGTAAGAGAGCATAAGAGTCCTTTATGTTCCAATCTCCTTAACAGTATGCAGTTCGAAATCTTGAGACATTGAATTGTTTAAGCATCAACACACAACATTACCGGAACTTATTGATATCCTGTTTATTCTCCAAACCGGTACAGGTCCTAAACTTCATGTGGCTTAAATTTTTTCTCATCTGGCGCTACTTTCGGTTCTGGTCATTGGTAGGTTCATTTGTTATACTACTACATTCCCTTCCATTGTCATTTTAACCTGAACTGCAGGCGTATTTTTCCTGTTGAATTGGATCTTAGAACAAATCCATCTGCACTCTTAGTTGTAGCTAGTTTAACATATATTTTTCTCTACTGTTATGTGTTGTAGATCAATGGTGCTGAGGTCCCTGAGAATATGCCAAGGTGTATAAATAATTGCTACAACTTGGAGAGTTTTTGGAAAAATTGGCATGCTTCCTTCAACAAATGGCTTGTCAGGTTTACTTTTCTGATCTTTTATCTTATTCTTCTCTTGCATTATGATCTTATAGTAACATGTACAATTGATAAATGTAATTTTAGGTACATGTATATTCCTCTTGGGGGTTCTCAAAAAAAGCTGCTCAATATATGGGTCATCTTCACATTTGTTGCCATATGGCATGATTTGGAGTGGTACTCACCTTCTTTCCAGTTTTTGTATTCCTTACTCTGTTCTGACTCTAGTCCTCTACTGATTGGCCTATTGACTTGCCTTCAGGAAGCTTCTTTCATGGGCATGGTTAACATGTTTATTCTTTATCCCAGAAATGATTGTGAAATCAGCAACAAATGCTTTTAAGGTGATGTCATATTCAATATTCTGTTACTATGTATTACTTTATTTTCCCTACGATGGCATCTTGAGTTGAATTGGATTGAATCCATTTTCAGTGTTACAAATGGTTTTATGATTAATTTTGAATAAATGGTTTCATAACAGCCAATGATGTCCTGATTCTAGCTAACCAATCTAATAATTGGCAATAGATTCACTTATTTCTAAATTGCCTGCATCTTGGGTTGGTCAAACCTGGGCCAAGAATTTTCAAGTCAAGCTATGGGATCAACTTCTACATATGCATGTAATTGTGCTCTATTTTAGCTGAGATGGGGTTCGTTTCTTTACCATAACCACCCTCTTGTTGGCTTGGGTTAAATTATATTCAATTTGGATACGCTTGGGTTAGTTGCAGGATTTTAGGGCAAAAAGAAACTATGCAGGCAACATAGGGATCAGGCTTAGGGTATTATGAAGCCAGCATAGGGGTATTGTGTTAAGGGCAAAAAGTTTCATCCTATATGGATGACTTTCGTATGTATGAGGTAAGTGGACTATGTCAATTAGGGATTCCATGTGAGCACAATTGAACATTAGTTGAAACATATAGATATGGCCTTATTTGAATCGGGTCAAGTTAAAAAAAATAAAAGAGTGAAGTTAAGTGATTGCACCTCTTGTTCCCAAGATCCTCTAAATTTTATTATCTTCTTGGTATTTAAAGATGATTTCGATGTAGAATATGTATAGGTAGGATCCTAAGAAGCACAGATACAACACGACATGAATATGCCGACATGAAATTTTTCAAACAAGTAGGATACGGACACGTTAGGTGACGTGCGAAATATTATGTAATTATATGTGTGTGTATATATATATATATATATATATGATCATACATTAAAATAAATATATTTTAGTGATAATCATTCAATTTATCATTTTCTTAATTCTAACAATTCACATCATGATATCATCGAATAAAAAATATGTGAAATATACTGATCTACATTTATCATAAACATTCATGATCAAACAATTAAAGACTACTAAAATTTTTATTTTAAAAAATGTTTCACTTCAGCCTTTTTTTAGAGCTTGTCAACCATCCTTTTTTTTTTTTCTAGCAAAAATTAAAGGAATTTCTTATTGACTTTACCAACACATTCGCTTTTTTGAAGCGATGTCAAATTCTCATAAGTTTTAAAAATTTGAAATGAAACTCAAAACGTGTCCTCTGGTGTCTCGATCGCGTGTTCCCAATGTGTCTAGAAAAATTATAACAATAAAAAAATCAGACAATCATTTTAGCATGTCCGACATGAGTCCGTGTCCCAGATGTGTTCGACACCGATACTCTGGCCAAAAGTATGTGTCCGTGCTTCCTAGGGAAGAATTTGTATCTTTGTCTCCAGCAAATGGCCTATGTGCATACAACCATGGCTATGTAACAACAGAAACTTTGATTTCTATAAATGCAAAGAGCATTTGCATAAACATTATAAGATTCAATCCGACATACGGGAGGATAATCCGACATAAGATTCAATTCCAAGCTTCCTGTTGTTTTTGTTTTCAATATTTAGTGAATCATTCTTGCAATCCTTCGTCAAACCCTCTGCGTAATTTTTTTTGTCTAAAATTTTTGAGGTTTTCCTCAGCCTTTATTTTGACTTTCTCAGCTGGATTCTTCATGTTAAATTTTGACAGCCACTCACATGATATTGTTGTACATAGGGATAGAAGTTGAAGGGGTAGTTAATATTACTTCATACTCCATTCTCTTGTAGTAAATACCTATAAATAGGTTGCTTTGTCTTAATAGAAAATATGTAATGAAGTATAAATGAAAGGGTACAACCTACTGCTGATATCTGAAGAGGCTTCTATTTCTTAATTGGAGTTTTTTCTTTGCTGTAGGCCAACGGTAGTGGGAGAACTTTTTTTTTCCACTGGATCACTCCCTCACCTCAAAATGGTAGGGGTAGAACATAATGACCAGATTAAAGTCAAGAGTCTTTTGTGCATTATGTATGGGATTACCTTTGTCATTGCTCTGATTTTGACCTTGAAGGAGCCATTTCTCATAGACATCGGGGGTCCAGATTTGTTGCCATAGGTTAGCATTCTGTTTGAATACTATTTGGATACAAAACCAAAATTCTAACTATTATTATAACTCTCATTGGAGAGACAGACAAAGTATCATTTTTTTCCAAGTATAGTTAGAAAGATGCACACAACTGCAACTGACTTTTTGTCCCCAAGTAACTTCATGTAATTTGGCTGTTAGCTTTGTAGAGATGTAGTGAGTTAGGCTTCCGAATTTTTGAAATATTGTAAGAGAAATGTAAAGACTACAATTAACAAAGTTGGTCACTCTTATCAAGAAACATTTAACCTGCAGACGGACACAAACTCTTGATTAGTTCAGGAGACATCCACATATTTTTTTTTAAAACTTGATGATTAATGGGGTTTATCTTGTTAGAGCATCTAATCCAAAACCAATTAACAATAAGTGGAGAAGCCCTTTAAGAATATAAATGAACTTTGGGTGGTGTTGATTATTCGACATGGGATATTAGCTCTCTTTATACCTGCCGTCATGAGGGACCCAGGCTTGTATGTGGGGCTACCAAACAAACATGCATATCGAGAAATTCAATTGTGTAAGAGACTTGCCCATTGACCACTCAAGGTCCAGTTCTTGTACGACGTTAGAGCATTCAACCTAAAACCAATTGACAAAAATGTTAAGCAAAAAACCAACCTTGGGTGTTCCTAATCATCCGATATGGGATACAAGCTCATGTTATAATCCTTGGAGCTCGTTGAGGCATTTATAAGGAGAGGGTAGAACAAAATCTTCTTTGTTGAACTAACATGAAGCTCTAACTCTCATGCTTCAATATTTGTAGCTTTTTTTATGCTTGAAAGGCTGTCTTTAGCCCTAATACTTTATATGCTCCTTCTAGGAAACACCTAAGTAGACCTTGTGATTTTATTGGGTTTCGGATGATATTTTTTTTTGTTAGTATTTGGATGATATTCTAAATGTTTCTCAAGCACAACTTTTCGTGTGTAATCTTACCAATAAAAAAACTTCTTGAGCACTCTCTGTCACTTTATTGGAGATTTCCTTGAGACCACATTTTGACATCATATTTTATCTATTCATGAAATAGAATGCTTACCATTTCTGTACCTTTGCCCATGTTCCTGGTTTTCTCTGCCTCCCACCACCCTCATCCTTTTTTGGACCTTTTTGACTTATTGCTAATCAACAAAAGGAGTAAATCTCTCTCCCTTTATATATATATATATATATATATATATATATTATTTGTTTAACTTCTGTGTTGATTTTTCCAACTGTTTTTGTTGTCAGGTGGAGAGTGCTTTTGGGGAATTTGTTTTCCGTGAACTAAGTGCAATGTTGGGTGCTATCACAATTACTTGTCTCATGGTCTGTCTTTTGTTCATCCACCTTAAAGTCTGAGTATTATGGTGATGGATTTCTTATATTTTTTGCTTCTATTATCCTGAAAATTAGTTCATCAATGTTTCTAATATTAAGTTTCTTTTTTCTAATAAACACTTACCATTTCATCTCTTCTGTAAAAGTAAAGAGTAATTTTAGTAACAATGCCTAAAATTATTATAGTTTTGCATAGGTAAGCAATTAAAGAATTGTAGGAGAATGTAAGTGTTGTTATAGAGAAGCTATTTGTGCTGAATTTTTGTATTAATATTCAAATTGGAATAAAAGCATTCAATGAGTCTCAAAGATGGGACCCATAAAGCTACTCCATTAAGGTTTTTTAAAATCGGGATCCTTTCTTCAATTGATAGGGGAGGCTAAAGGATTGCGATCGTATGATCAGATTGAGAATTGTAAGATCCTACAAACTGAGAAAAAAGACTAAAAATATGTATAACTAAACAGAACTAGAAATTGTAGAAATGTTTTGACAACGTATACATCTTAGAGATATGATTAAAGATTGAGAAATTATAATATGGATATTTCAGAAGGTATAAAATCAGAGATGAGCTGCTAATTTGTGATGAGAAATATGAAAATTATAGTATTTTGATCTTAGACAGAGGAGAGATCAGTAGTTGAGTGACTGTTAAATAAACAATATTGACCATTCAACATCCAACAAAAATAAAAGACAATGGAGAATGAAAATAGAAGACATATCTCATTGTGATCACTCACCAAAAAAGAAGAGAACATATCTAGTTATTGTTTACAACTTTTTAATGAGAGATGAATACATAAAGAGAGCTTTCCCTAACAAAGAGAGAAATCTATTAACTTTTGTTACCCATCTAAATTTTTTAATAGACTGATGCGTGTATGGCAAAATCCCAAATGGATTGTGTTCAAGTATTAAAGTAATAAATATGGGCCGAGCTATTAGTGCCCAACAAATAAGCCCCACAACTTAGATTGGTAAAATTGCAATTGGGATCAAGATCATACGATCCTATAAGATTCATATCACAATCCATTAAGATTCTATGAACTAGGAATTTTCAAGAGACACGGATCGATTGCCAGTATTAAATAGGGTCAAAAAGATCCTGCGATCTGGACCGGGATTTTGATAACCATGCACACTATCAAGGCAACTGCTAAATTGCTCAATGGAGGAGGACCTGTGGAGCCTTATTAACCATCTCCCACTCCCACCTAACCATTGGGTGACAAAGTCCACAGTGGGGTAATTGGGAATAAATGCGTGTGCCTTTTAACGTGTGAATGAACATCCTCATTCATATATTCTAGCAACTGACTATGTATGAACATCCTTAGTGAGATATGCGAGTAACTTACACCAGACACTGTTTCTTGCATACTTTGGCGATGATGCAGCTTGGTAAATTGTTTTCTATTAGCATGTATAGCATTCAGGGTATTGTGCAAGTTGCTTTAAACCCTTAATCCAAGATGATGCAGCAAAAGATTTAGTTATGAAAGAACATCCCATAAGAATGAAAACTTATTTTTGTTGTCCATGGCATTTGATCACAGATTTGTTGTGCAGCATGAAGCACTTAGGTATACTTGTGCCCGTGATACCTATATATAATTACTTAGGTGTAGGATTTTCAATTAGAACCCTTGAATGATCATTCTAAACATGGGTGAAAGAATATTTTTAAGACTCATCCGGATTCTCTGGAAAAAGATAAAAATGGACTCCTTTGTGCTTTCATGGCAAAATAAATTAGACTCATTTCCCCACTACCCATTACACCACACCTTTCTAACTTTTTCCTTTTATTACAATAATTTCCTAGCCTTTTACTCTGCAGGTGGCTAACCTTGTTGGCTTCGTAATTGGACCATCAGGCATTCATTGGTTGATTTCTGGATTCCTCCAGGAAGAAGGTTCATCTCCCTTTCTGTCTCTCTTTTTCTCTTGCATGCAAGGTGCTGCAGAGTTAATATAATCTTAAACTTTTGCAGGTCTGCATACTCTTTGTGGCTTGTTTCTGACATTTTATGTTGGAACAAAGGTGAAGGACTACAAATATTTAATCGTTCCGCTGGATTATGGTCTCCTAATGAGAGCTTTAATTTAACTTAAGAAGCTGATTACTTTGCAGCTTATGTTTCACATCGCTGACGCCAAGCAAAGGAGGCATCAAAAGTAGAGAATAAGAGGTCCATTTTGCATCCCAAATTATTGCAATGTGGATATTATGATGTTGAGTTTTAAGGTTAGAAAATAGCATATCTATTTATGTTGAAATATAAATACTTAAAGTTACACCCTCTTTAACTGCCTAAGTTTTTAAAGTAAATGGTTGTTTAACATATGGTATTAGAACAGGAGGTCTTGTGTTCGAATTTTGCCGCCACCTCAATTGTTAAAAGATTTTCACATGCTATGCCCAAAATCTAACTTGCACGTGTGGGAGCGTGCGGAAATATAAATACTTATGTACTCTCTTTAACAGATTAAACTATTGAAGTAGATGGAATATTGTAGGAAACTTGTAAATTTTCCTCAAAGGAGAGTCGCACAAATTTTCTCCTGATTGTTACTGCAAAACATTAGAAAGCTATGCTGACCTTGATTATTGCATGCACACTAATTGTCTGGTTATAGTGTTGTGATGACAACTAAATTCATTTGCTTCAATTTTTTGTCATTGGCACAAATTCATGTGGTCACCACTGCTGTCAAATATTGTCGTCATATCATTCCCTGGTTTTTTATTTTTTTATTTTGTGAAGTGATGTCCAGGGACATGGCTGCTGCTAATTTTGTTTGCTACTAGCATAATATGATGTTGGTGTGGACTCCACTGCCGTCAAATAATGTTATCACATCATTCAGGTTTCTGTTGCTCGAAAGCATGGCTGCTGGACACTGCCCGATCTGATCCCCAACATTGGATTCTGATGATTGAGGTGATCAAAATATGCACCCTGAGCATTAGCACGGAAGGGAATGTTGCTGTTGAACTGATGGTGGTTGCCCGTTGTCGTCCTTGCATTTTTGCGAGACTAACTGTTGCAGTTGATATCCTATGATTAATTAAGATATTCATCTCTGTATACTGATTTGACATTCCCATGGAGATACCTGACTTCTCTACTTCTGTTTCTAAATGGAGTTTCTTGATGAAAAGAATCACCCTTTATTTTCTTATTGCAGGGAATTATTAATCTAGTGCTTCCTTGTGTTGGAACATCAATGCTAATTCATAACCTGGATTATGTTTGCCTGATTTAAAAACTATCTTTAATTGCATCTACCTGTTTATAAACCTGAATACCTGATAAACCAAACCAGACCAAATCAAACCAAATTAAATTAAGCTTTATGTCCCCATCATTTAGGGTCGGCTATGTGAGTCGGTCTTCGTCATTTATTTCAATCATGTGCTATACGTTCATTTAAATGCTATAGTGTTAAATTTTTTTATTATTTCGTTCGATGTTAATTTATACCTTTACTTCTAGTATCATTAAGAGAAATTCTATCACTTTTTTAAACTGGTGCCTCTATCAGCCTATGTTGAACATGACAAAACTATTTTAATCTATTTTCTCTTAACTTATTCCCAGTTAGAGCTATTCCTATCATTTTTCTAATACGGTCATTTCGTATTTTATTCTTTCTAATTTTTTCACACATCTACCTTAACAACCTCATTTTCGCTACATATGTTGTTTCCTAGTTATCCAACTTTTTGTCTCAGACAATATTGTTGTCCTTATAGTTGTTTGGTAAAATTTATATTTCAATTTTATTGGTATTTTTCTATCACATAATATATCAGAGGCTCTCCTCTACTTAAGACAACCGGCGTTGATTCTATGAGTTACATCAATCTTTCTATTATTTTTAATGATTGATCCTTGATATCTAAATCGTTTACTCGTTAGTATTTCATAATTTTCAATTTTAATTTTTTCACCATCTATTTCTTCTATTATTAAAATTGCATTGTATATATTCAGTTTTACTCCTACTTATTTTAAACCCTTTTAACTCGAGTGTCTCTCTCCAAATTTTTAGCTTATTGTTAATCCCCTTTGAGTTCCATTACTAATACAATATCATCTACAAATAACATACACTAAGGAACATCATCTTGAATGTGTCTAATGAGTTCATTCATAATTAGGGCGAATCAAGGATCAAAATTTCGTTTCAGTATATTGTTTCAGTCACTTAAAAAATGAAAACGTTTCGACATGTTTCGGAAACGTTTCGACCCGTTTCGAAAACATAATGAAAAATAATAAAAATTTAAGAATTATTTTTTCAAAACAATAGTCGAAATATATTAAAAAATCTTGAAATATTTTGAAATATTCTTAAATAATTGTGCAAATACATTGAAATATTACAAAATATTTTGAAACATTATGGAACATCTCGAAGTATTAGAATTTCAATTTCATTACTGATTCGTTTCGATCTCCTTGAAAATAGAAACATTTCGGATTTTTCGACCATTTCGAAACGATATTTTGATCCTTGGGGTGAATATGGATGGATTTAGGACTGATCCTTGGTATAATTCCACCGTGATTGAAAATTTTTACTTTCTCCCACGTAAGACCTAATCATAGTCATAGTCTCGTCATACATGTCACCTCAATATATTTATTTGTCACTCATTTTCTCTCAAGTACCCTCCATATTATATTTCTACGCACTTTATCATACACCTTTTGTAGATCTATAAATACCATATGGAGATTTTTTTTCTTTTCTCTATACTTTTTTATTGAGTGTCCTTAATAAATATATAGCCTCCATAATTGATTTACTCGGCATAAACCCAAACTAATTTTCGACATTGTAGTCTCAACTCTTAAACGACGTTTAATGACCTTTTTCTATAGTTTCATTGTATGACTCATCAATTTTATCTCTATATAATTATTACAATTTTGAATATATCTTTTATTTTTATAGATATGTTATAGAATACTCTTTCTTCACTTATTGAGCATTTTCCTAGTAGCAATAATTCTATTAAATAATTTCATTAGCCACGACACCCCCTCATTCTCAGATTCTATGGTAGGAATCTCATTCGGTTCTAAAGTCTTGCATAATTTCATTTTCTTCAATACAAACTCTACTTCTAAATTCTTCATTCTACGAAAGAATGTGTTTGCTCTAATTTCATGAATTCTTCCATTTTCTATCACTTCTAAATTTCTAATGTGATTTTCATTTATAGTTTCTCCAAACTGTCTTTTCGTTGATCATTTATTTCCTCATCTTTAACTAAAACCTTTGAGTCCTCATCCTTGATGCATTTAACTTGGTTAAAGTCTCTTTTTTTTTTTATCTCTAGTTTTAGCTAGTTTGTAGATGTCTTTTTCTCCTTTACTATCTAGTTTTTTGTACAACTCGTTGTGGACTTTTAACTTAGTATGTCTAACTATATTTTTAACCTCCTTGTCAGTTAATTTATATCTTTGAAAGTTCTCGTTATTTCTATTATTTTGTCATCTCTTAAAAATTATTTCTTTACTTTAACTACATCTTGTACGTCGTCATTCCACTACCGAGTTTCTTTTCCTACAAGCCCTCTACTCTTTGACTTCTCAAAAATCTCTTTCGAAATTTTCGTAACGTCTTTTGTCATCCTATTTCATACAACGTTAGTCTCATCCTCTAGGTTCCATAAGGACTCCTTAAGCATTCTACTCCTAAATAATTACTAGTTTCTCAACTTTTATATTTCACCATCTCGTTCTTATTTTTCTAATGCTTCTCCTTACTCTATGTTGCCCTTTAATATATAAATCTAGGATTGTTAGCCTATGTTAAGATGTTAACCTCTCCCCAGATAACCTTACAATTTTTACATGCTAATCGGTCCGTTCTTCTACTTGAGAAGTAGTCTACTTGGCTTTTGTTTAGTCCACTCTTAAAGGTTATTAGATGTTCTTCTCGTTTTCTAAAAAAGGTGTTTGCCACTACAAAGTCACATACCATTACAAAATCTAAAATACTCTCTCCGGAGCTTCATTTTGATCACCATATCCATAACCACCATGCACCCTCTCATATTTTGTCCTATCTTTTCCCACATGTCTATTGAAATCTCCACCTATGATTATCTTCTCTTCAATAGGTATATGTTGTACTAATTCATTCATTTGCTCCCAAATTTGCTTTTTAATATGTTCCTCTATCCCTACAAGTGGTGCATAAGCGCTAATCACATTAATTGTATTCTCTCCGACTACAAGTTTGATAGATATAATCCTATCTCTTTTCCCTGTAACTGCTACTATACTATCTTTTAGGCCTTTATCTACAATTATTCGTACGCCATTTCTTCTTCCTCTATCATTTCCCGTATAGTAAATCTTGAATCCGGTATTTTTTATCTCCTTTGCCTCCTCACCTACCCACATAGTTTCTTGTAAGCACGCTATATTAATTTTTCTCTTACTCATAGTGTCTACTAATTTCAGTGTTTTGTCAGTGAGTGTACCTATGTTCCGTGTTGCTAATCTAAGTCTATCAGTGTAGACTAGCTTCCTTACCCCCTATGTCCGTCCATGGCACAGAGATCCTTGCCCATTAATCACCGCACCCGAGCACCAATGCAGCACCCCTAAATTATTTGTCAAAACGCCTCGAGGCAGGCGCAACACATCACTTGTGGGGAACGACTTAGCATTAGTGCATATATCATTGTTTGGACTCGTCATAGTAGATCCGACAAAGTTTTACTCTAGCTGTCAGCTAACCAATGCTAACAAACAGAAACAGAAAAAACTCATGTCAATGGAGTGCTCTGCTAATGGGGTTTTCTCTGTTACATCTGATTGGAATGCTTTAAGATATTATGCTAGAATCATCTGGTATGGTAAAGGTAAAATTGTTCCAAGGTGGAATTTCATTCTTTGGCTTCTATTAAACAAAAACTTAATGCTAAAATCAGGATCCAGGCTTTATATAATCAATTGGATGATACTTATATTCTATGTGGTAATGCTGTGAAGATCATTACCATCTGTTCTTCCAGTGCCTATTTTCACACAAACTCTGGAGTTCAATAATGAAATACACCTCTATGCAGAACTTATCAGTGGATCTGTTAATAGAAAGGGTTGCACCGGGATGGAGAGCTGATTCAATACAGAGTACAACTGTTAAATTCCTTATCTGCTGCTGTGTGTTATTGTTGGCTGGAAAAAAACTCTAGTATTTTTCCACATTTACAAGGACCTTAATCCAATTCTTAGGACAATCTGGGCATTGATTACAGGCAAATTATCTCCTCTTAAGATCACTTAATCAGCTGTAATAGACAGTGTTGCAGGACTTGGGGGATATTTGGGAAAAAGTGAAGAATTGGTTATATTGTTTCTACTGTCTACTGCATGGTGTGTAACATGACATCTACAAGCTTCGTTGTGAGTGAATGGTTCTGCTTTTGTAATGTTTTAATGCATTACTGCTGGAAAGTGTTTTGTTACTCTGCTAGTTGTGTTATAAGACTCATTCGAAAATGAAAGGATGGTGATGCAAGATTCACCAGGGATATCAAATCCTGAATTATGTTTTATTGAAAGTTGGTCTCAGGAATGCATGTTAGTAAGAATTGCAGATTATGAACTGCAAAATCTAAACTAAATGAGCTGGTGTCAACTCTCGATATGTTTTTCATTGTCCTGAACATTATAGTTCAGTAGGTGTTTTTCCTTAATTTCCCCTTTACTTGTAATAAGCTTCATTAACTGTCATTAACAATTCGATTTAAATTAGCCCCATAAAAAGATTTAAGGCTCACCGGCGATGTGGGCAAGAATCCACTGAAGTGGAGCTGTCACAAAGACTTTACATGGCCACACAACTATATGACACATGCTAACACGCCCCCGAGATGACATACCCCATGGCCTGTGCATACTCTCTGGAATCAATTGTGTTTGAAAGATTGGGTTTCATCCTCCGTTTTGTTGATATGAACAGCAAGATTGATGACAGAGACGACTGGGCAGTGATTGTAATGGGATTTTTGTTCTTAAAAGTTTAAGGTATGTCA